TGAAAAACCAACAATAGATACTTTGGCAACATACCACGTTGGTAAGTTGTAATTTCAACTTTCTAATGTTCTTTCAATAGTAATAATAAATTCTTAAAATTCTTAAAAAATAAAACTATGAGATATTGACAACAAACCACATTGGCATGTTTTATTTTAATTTATTTTATTTTTAATTTAATTTGATAAATATTATTTTTGAATAAAAATCTATAATTTTATTTCTATATTTAAATTAAGACTTTGATTTCATAATTTTTATAAAATGTTACACACATTAGCTCATACTCCAATTCATTCCAAACTATATAAATGTTATGTTTAAAAAATAATATTAGTAATATAATACACATTCTAATAATTTTAGAAAGTTGAAATAATAATAATAATAATAATACTCATAGAAAAAAAAACTTGAAAGATTTTTTTTTAAAATGGTTGTACAGATAAATGCTAAATATTGTGGTTTGAAGTTTATAATATTATACTAATAGGTTGCTTGTGATAAATTTTTATTCAAGTATTTATGCAAAGTTGCCAACATAGTATGTTTATTTATTTTTATGTCTTTAGATAAAAAATGCTGAATCTATTAGTAACATAATTATTTACCACATCATTAAGTATTAACATTATAAAAAGAATAATCATATCTTAATAAAAATTTAGACATAGAGCCTTTTTTATTTCTGAATAGGTAATTTGAGTTTTATTTTGTCATGTCTATTATATTTATAAGAACTAGATAGTAATTTATAATATTTTACATTTTATTTTTTTAATTTAGAAAATTAATTTATTAAAGATAGTTTTTTACTAAATATAATTTATATTAAATTAATTTTGATTTATAAATATATATATATATATATATATTAGTTTTTTTCACAATTTATAATTATATTAGATATTTTTTTAAAATAAATTAAATTTTTTAAGCCTATAATATTTTTTTGGTAGAACCTAATTTATTTGATTTTTGTTCAATAAGTTAATATTATAAAGTGGAGTTAAAAATATTTGGAGTTAAAACATCCTTTACAAATAGGTAACAATAAACAAAGCAAAAAAATAAATTATATTTTCTTTAAAATAGGTATCTATACATAATTATCTAAGATTACTAATAAATAGTTTTTGTTTAATAGAAAGCACTATAAAATTATAAAAATAAGCTTTGATGACCTTTTGACTTTAAAGCCACCAAAGGGTTTTAAAAAATATCTCTTAAGTTCTGTTAAAACCAAATTGATTAATTGATAATAAATTATATTATATTTGAAGTAATAGTATCCATGTATTATGTTTAAAAACACATATATATCTTTTAAGAAATGAAAGATTATTTTAAAATTTAGTAATATTAAAAAATTTATATATATATATATATATATATATATATATATATATAATTTTTATTAAATATTAAAATCAAATACAAAAATATACTCAATTTATAAAATTATGAAATTTAAAGTACAAAGCTATAATTATTTTTAAGATACGTTATTTCAAATAATCACTTGCAAATGGATTCTAAAAAGGTACAAACTATTATAGATTGGACAATTCTTAGAACAATATAAATATTTTTGGAATTTGAAATTTTTTATTGGATATTTATTAAGAACATCTTTAAAGTTATTTTTTTGCTTGTAAGATTAACTTCAAAAATAAATTAGAGTGGAGTAAAGATATAGAAGCAATATTTGAAGACTTAAAAAAATATTTACATACACCTTAGATTTTATTATATGTTTCTTTAATTTATTGAAGCCATTTTTTATAGAAATAAATAAGTTGAATTTTGCATTAGATGCAATTCTATCACAAGTAGATAAAAATTTATTTTTTTGTATTTATTTATTTTTAACAATAGGATTAGATTGAAAATATTTAATAAATAATTCTTTTTTATTTTATATTTATATGTAAATTGATATCACTACCTAGAAGATGTTTTTATCCAATAAAAATTTATATTGATTATTGAAATGTTAAATATTTCATATTAATATATGAATGAAATCATTTTTAAGCCCATTAGAGAATATCTTTGTGATAATTATAATTTTGAATTAGATTTTTAAAAAAATAATATGATTTATTAGATGCCTTAATTAGATATTCTTATCTTCTATTAAAAAAGACTCAAGTTGTGATCAATTACTTTTGTAGGATTAAAAAAAATATTTTTAAAGTCATGAAGTTACTAATTTTAATTAATACTATTTTTAAAATTATATTACAATAACCTTGAAGATGACTCTAAAAAAAATTAATTTAAAGAAATAATTTTTAACATATAAATAAATACATAATAAATTTGTAAGAATTTATTATTAAAATCAAATATATATGAAGGATATGAGTTATTATAAAACTCTAAAAAATAAATTTAATCTTATAATATCCAAAATAAAAAAGCACATAAATCAAAGATAGATATAAGATAAAACAAGTGCTAGCAAAGATCATCTGAGACATGTTCAATTAACAAAATATGTGTTTAACTTGCCTCACATGTGCACTACATGGCCAACTTATTAAAAAAAATATTCAACATATGCAACATGCGGCCAACTTGTTGACTAAGTTTTTAACCTAATGTTAACCAAGAATTTAGAGGACCTGTAACTTAGGCCAATAAAAATATCACTTTGAGAGTAAATCCTACATAATTATTGTATAAATTGCAATAATTGTGTTTGTTAGAGAGTTTTAGGAGTGTATATAAGGTTAGAAGTAGAAATATAAGGATTAAGAAGAGCTTAAGAGGCAAGTTTAAGGCTAGTATATATTATTTATATTAAAATATATCTAATGTTGAAAGAGCCAAAATCCTATATAATTAGATCTTATATTGAATGGACAATTTTGGCTTAAACTAATAAGTGAGTTTTGTAGATCAAGTGATTGTGTGTAAAAAGGCTAGATCTAGGTATAGATCTAGGTTTTAAAGGTTCAAGCTCAAAGATAGATATTAAAACCAAGGATAGTGCTCAAGATAGTAATTCAATTTGTTGAAGGTTAGCAAGACATGTAGTTATTACCATCCTTCATGAGAATATAAAATTCCTTTGTTTTACATCTACCAATCACCTACAAAAAATTATAAAGTCAAATTTGCATCTACAAGCTTCTTAAAAGCTTCTCCATAAGATATTAGCAAATTTACTTACTTTTACTTCTACCTAATTCATTTCCTCTTTCTAATTATTAATGCCAATATTAATGTTTGTGATAATGTACTAGAAAAAAAAAAAAAAAATAGCACTACCTCTTATTGAAAAAGATAATAATTATAAATTTGAAGTAGAAGAGGTATTGGATTCAAGGTAATGCCAAAACAAATTGACTTAGATATGATATTAGTGAATACATATGGGTGCCATTTGAGAATCTTTAAAATGTGTTATTGCTTTTCATTGTCAACATCCATTAAAAATAAGGACTAAGTATCAAGAATTCATGATGGTTGAAAGGACATATCAACCACCTTCATGTAGAATAAAGATCAAAGTTTATTACTAATACCATTTGATAAAGCTTAGGATTTATCAACTTATGATGCAATTTAACTCCTCCTTGTAAAACTTATTATTTAGAAGAAGAAAGAATGTAATAATTTTTTATATTATTTAAGTAAATAAAAATAAATAAAAATATATAAAAATATATAAAAATATATTGAAAAGATAATATCTTCCTTAAGAAGCTTTAAAAAAACTTCTTAGATGTAGATTAAATATTTAGACTTTTATAGATATGCCACATAACTATTTTAAAAAAAATCTAAAAAATTCTTAATTTTAAAAAGTCACGTAGGAAGCAACCTACAACTTGATTTTAAGCCACAAACCTTGTGGTTCCTAAGAAGCTTCTACAAGTCCCTCTTGATATCTAATATATATAGATATAAGATTGGAACTATCTTTAGTTTTTCAACATCTTTCTTAAGCTCTAGTCTTCGTTTAAGTCTCTTTAGTTTCTTTATACTTGGCATTTGTCATTTTATTTATTTATTTTTTATCTTATAACCATCTTTTCTTTCTTTACTTTCTCCCTTCTTTAATAACACATAAGGTTACTATCTTTTAGGTTTTGAATAAATTTATGTTCTTTCTGCTAAGTGTTTAAATTGCATAGTAATTTTTTAGCAGCTTTTCAAAGGTGTGATACTTCTTGGAGTTTATATATCAACAAAGTGTAATTATAGATAATGTGTCATTTTTTAATTTTAAAATTCATATTATCCATTGGTTACATTATTTAAAATAAATAAAAAGAAAAACTTACTTGCATTATTGCTTAAAGACAAAATTGTACAAAAGTAAACTAGAGTGGAGTGAAGATGAAAATATAACATTTTAAGGTTTTAGAATAATGTCAAAAACCACAATTAGGTGAAATATGTTTATAAAAAAATAGCAAAAAAAAAAAAAAAAAAAAAAAAACTTTACTTTTTGAAACTTGCTAAAATGTCGAAGTTTTTATAAATTATTCAAACTTTTAGGCTATTTTTTTTCTTTGCATTTTGGTGTAATTTTTAGATAAATAACAAAGACTACAATATGTCTATTATATCAAAGGAGTATACTTTTAAAGAAGGAAGTATAGAGGCGAGGCGGAGTTGGAGGGGGGGGGGGTTCACCCTGTGTGTGTCTCCTGCTCTGCTTCTGCTGTGACTGCTACTGCGTTTCCTTCAATGCGCTGAGGCAGTCACTTCGGGGGGTCGCAGTCATGGATATCTCACTTGATCCATGAGCCACCCTTTGTATAATTACCGGCCCTCCCGTGACGGATCCCATTGTGTCCCATCTCCCCCTCACAGGGCCCCTGCAAGGACTGCGCGCGATGGTTTAATGGGATCGCCTGTCTGCCCAGGCAGGGCCTCAGTGATTGGACTCGCGCGTCGGGGCCAGATCACTCACTCGGCGCGGTTATGATCCAGCCCTTCCCGCTTTGCTTGCTAACCCCCTTCGCTCCCTTCACTCCCTTCCCCACTGCCATAGTGTGGTCGTGTCGGCTCCTGAACCCCATGCACTGACGTACATTGTCATGCCCCCTCGACCTGGTCCGCTCCTGCAGCTTGGGCTCTGTGGGTGGATTGTCGAGCTTGATTAGAGTCCCCCCCCCCTCGGTCTATAAAAGGTGCTAGGCCCGCGAGAGCTTGAGTTGGAACCTTTCCGCGGAGTGCTGGTCATGATCTCGAGGATGGGATTTGCCGCGGTGGTCGTCGTGGTGGCGGTGTTGGTCCTCGGGGTTGGGTCCTGCGCTCAGGGCATCGGAGCACGGGGGCCCCAGAAGCCCCTGGTGCCGGCGCTGATTCTGTTTGGTGACTCCACCGTGGACGTGGGGAACAACAACTTCTTGAACACACCAGCGAGGAGCAATTTCTTGCCTTATGGACGCGACTTCGACACCCGGGAACCCACGGGGCGGTTCACAGACGGGCGCATGGTCAGTGACTATTTGGGTGAGCTCCTCGCCTCGGAAGTTGCTCTCGCATTTGGAATTTGTCGGTTCCCCCCTCCCTCCCGGAGACAGAAAGTGAAGGAAGTGATTGTAGTTTGCCGTTACTGATATCATCGTGGTCCAAACGGAAGGGAATTGGTACGTCGAGTGGTTTATTCATGAACAATGATGGCAATTTTGATTATGATGACCTGTGGAACTGAATGCTACAGCTACGTGGTTGGGGTTGCCCATCTCACTACCGTACTTGCATCCCAATGCCACCGGCCAGAACCTCGTCCACGGCATTAATTTCGCCTCAGCGGCATCTGGCTATCTAGACACGACATCGCAGTTTCTGGTAATCTCTACAGGGCGAATGCAAATGCATTGCATGGACAAAAAATCACACTTCCAAATGTACTCAATTCGTTGGACTCGGTCCTGTAGCTTCTCAGTCAGTTGGAAGACGACCATGACGAGCCATTTTTGGTTTAAGGATCGTTCAGACTCTTCTTCATGCATGATATCGCTCTCGCTCCACGGTGACAACATTTAACTGTATTACTCAATGGTGTTTGTTCCAGCATGTGGCTCCAGCCAGAATGCAGTTTCGGATGTTTGAAGGGTACAAGGTCAAATTGGCCAACGTCATGGGTACCACGGAGGCTTCCTCCACCATCACCAACGCGCTTTATGTCGTGAGCAGCGGCAGCAATGACTTCATTCTCAACTACTTCATCAGCCCAGAGATGCAAAATCGCTACTCCACCACGCAATTTAGCTCACTGGTCATGTCGGATCAGAAAGAATTTGTGCAGGTATGGGTGGTGCGATTACCTGTGCTTTTTTGTATTTATTTTTTGATAGAGGCCGTAGCAAACAACGAGAGGATTGGAAATATCTAGCCCCATTCTGAATTCTCCTTGCATACTTTGTGTCTGTAGAACCTCTACAAGGCAGGTGCAAGAAAAATGGCTATTCTGGGGTTTCCGGCGATTGGATGTATTCCTGCACAGATCACCCTCTTTGGGGGTCTGGAGCAGGAGAAGTGCGTGGAGACGCAGAATGCCGTCGCATTGGAGTACAACAAAGTTCTCCAAGACGAGGTCCCTAAATGGCAGGCCAGCCTGCCGGGGTCCCAATTCCTTTATCTCGACGCGTATTCGCTCCTCTATGAAATTTTCTACAACCCTGCAAAATATGGTAATCCCCTTCATTTCCCCCCTCGAATATGACGAGCTAATTCGAAAGGCTTGTTCCAGTGCCTTTTGAAAGGAGTTGACATCACTGTCGTCGTTGCTGTGGCAGGGTTCACTTCGACAAGGCGAGCTTGCTGCGGCCATGGGTTAATTTCCACGGCGGAATTTTGTAACGAGGCGACCTCAGGAACTTGCTCCGACGCATCCAAGTTTGTGTTTTTCGATTCATTGCACCCTACGCAGTCAGTATACAAGCGTCTTGCTGACGAGTACATAGCCAAATTCATTTCCTTCTTTAAACTCGACGGAGGGTATTAGTTAGACACCGCAGGTTCCACGCATAAAACACATGAGCAATGTTCAATCAATGTAAAACCCCCTACATAATTGAAGGCTTAGATTAATCCCCAAAGTTTTTTTTAAAAAAGACAAAAATCTTCACGGCCGGGGACGTCACGATGGCATGCATAGTTGCGTGGATCTGCATTGCCCGAACTCATATTACGAAACTGACGTCAGTGGTGGCCAATCTGCAGCCGTCGATTCTCACACCGCACGCTGTCGATTAAATGCACACTCAATCAATCTCTTGTCGTTATATGATGATGCTCGTTTAGTTTTTGTGAAAGCGACAGCCTTTCCTTGAAATCTAACACACTGATGGCTGCCATAATAAGAGCTCACCCCTTTTACTCGCAAGTTGTGTTGTACGGTAGGTACCATTCTGTTACGCCAGAAGTTCAGACCACTTTGCGTCGCCCCCTAAGCAGCAAGGCTCCATTACATTCCTATCTTTCTGTTTCCTCCCCCTCAAGGGCACCGTCCTCACTGTCCATGACGAACATAACCTACAGGACAGAATGGATTCCTGCAGTTAGTCAAGGACGAGCGGGCAGCTCAGTCCTGCTGCCACACATGCACCAACTGCTACCCGTTCCCATCTCTCGCTCTCTCTTTCTTTCTCTCTCCCGAGCGCTCTCTACATCGCAATCTTTAACCGCTCCCTCGCTGCCCCCGCAATCATGACCCATGGGTTCGTCTCCCCTGCAGCATTCAATGCGTCCCCACTCCTCTGCAAACCATCTTCGCACACACACACATAGAGACAGCCAGCCAGACACACCCACATACTTCGAAACGCTTTTGATGATGGTGCTGTTTCTGCTGCTGCTAAAAAGGGATCAGCTGACGGAAATGCATGAAAGCACTGGTACTCCGTTGAAGGAACGGCGACTGATGTCTGCAACCCCACAATATCATGCATCCACGCACCCAATGCAACCCTATCGCCTCCCCAAGCCTGCCAACGTTGCTACTGCACCACCGTATCATCAGTTGCATTATTTTCAACGAAACTTTTCTTCTGTGGCATCCAATCTTCTTTGCGCTTTTCCACACATTAGGTTCCACCTACTCACAATATGAGGGTTGGTGGTAGACCTCGTACTAAGATTGAAACTTTGGAGTTTCCGATAGTCGGGGGACAAAGAATCATTGTTGCAATTGGAACCAAAATATTGAGTAGGGCTTTGAGTTTGTGTTCAGATGAGATTCATGTATTGTATTTAACTGGTGGGCTTGGATGTATATATATACAGATATATATATATATATTATTCTTGTGATTATTATTTATTTAAAAAATTCAAATGCTTTCCATTTCCTATTTGTTTCTATTTTAATTGAATTTAAATACAAAACCACGATTTTTTTTATTTATTTTTTCTCATCTATATTTGCAGTTATTGTCTTGGATAAAAAAGACAGAAATAAGAAAATAAAATAAAATAAAACATTAATTCTTGAAGATGTGTTTAGTTTACAAAGATTATTTTTTTACAAGTGAAATGGTTGTAAGTGACAAGGTTAATTCAAATTATCTTGAAGTTTTTGTGATTTAGAATAAACAATGAAGAATTAAAATTATGCTGATATACTCTATTCCAAGCAGTTGATTAACTCAATTCTTGAGAGGGATTAACTGGAAATTACTGAATTTCCACATCATGATCTTCAGTCTTCTTTGTATTCAATCAAAGTTGGTTCATAATCCCAGGGTGCTTCAAATCCATGGAAGTTGATGAAAGTAGCGGCAACATTTGCCAATCCGGCATTTGGCAAGTCTGTTCGAAACTTCACACCCTTGGGCAATCCTGGTCCACCAATGATGCACGGAACCTACATAATATCATCACAAAACCACAATAATTTTGCAATAGAACTTTCAACCTGCAATTGTGTGAACAGCTCAAAATCAACTAAAAATTCAATAAATAAGATTCCATATGTAGCAAAGTTTTTTTTTTATTCTTTTTTCTTCCTGTGGGGCAGGGAACACAAAATATACAAGCCACTCACAGGGTTACATGTGTGGGAGGTAAGAACTTCAGGTTCTCCAGCAGAGTTCAAAATGGGTTCCCCAGTTTTAGCATTCCGTTTCACCATGTCCTCTGCATTGCCATGGTCAGCAGTGATTAAAAAGATACCCTTCACCTCTTCGACAGCATCAAGCATTATCTGCAAACATTTTCAATACACTTGAAATTCATTATCACTTGTGGGTCCCTCCACATATATACTATAATTAGGACTGTAGTGGCTCTACTTTTGCGGTGATTTGTCAGTTCATAGCAATGACACACACAATACGTCATTTTAAAACAAAGTTTTAATGAAGAGAATCATGGTAAGAGAGTTGAGTAGCGTGGAAAGGCACGATGGATCACCTTCACAGCCCGGTCGACGGCTTCGCAGGCAGAGATGGTCGCCTTGAAATCGCCAGTGTGGCCTACCATGTCTCCGTTGGCTATGTTTACACGAACCTGTAGTTTAGCCCCTCGTTATGTTTGTTAAACTCATTAAGCTGAAACTGGAAAACCAACATCTACAAATGGATTGCATGTGAGTGTGTATATATATATATATATATATAGAAGAGAGAGAGAGAGAGAGAGAGAGAGAGAGAGAGAGGGAGAAATTTTACGTGGTCGAATTTGCCACTGAGAAGGGCGTCGCGAGCTTTTTCAGCGATGGCAATGGCTTTCATTTCAGGGTTATCGTTGAAGGGGATGCCCTTGTTACTGGGAATTTCCACATACTTCTCCAGACTAGAGCTGAACATTCCAGAGCGGTTCCCGTTCCACACAAACGTGACGTGCCCGAATTTCACAGTCTCGCTGCGGATCAACAACACACCCCAAAACAGTATCAGTGTATTGCAGCCACACAACTATAACACGGATACCTGAGTAAAGAACAAGGACCGATTCTAACGCAATTTTCGAACCAAAGAACAAGAAAATCTCAAGTGTAGGTTTTGCTTCGGCGGCGTGATCTTACCTGCAGGCCCAGGACTTGACATAGTTGTGCACGAGGTACTCTCCCGAGGTTTTCTCGATCAGTGGAGGAGTCACCAGGTAATGTTTTGGAAGCTCAATGTCTGCATCATACTGCAGCATACCGGCATACTTAATCTTGGGCATCACCCCTCTGTCGAACTTGTCGAACTCCTCCAGATCGAAGGCTTTGGCTGCCATCACCATGCGGTCCGCCCGGAAGTTGAAACTGACAACGGCGTCGTTGTCGAGGATTGGCCCCTCCGCATTGCCATCGGGTCCAACGATCACAAAAGGAGGAAAGTACTGATCATCCAGCTTTGGATTCGCCTCCTTCAGATTCTTCAGTGCCTCCATAGCTGTTGCGAATTTGTGAGGAGCTTCCCCTCGGACTTGAGCATCCCATCCTATCTTCACCACTCCCCAGTCGTTCTGTCAAGAGGGACGTGCCGACAACAAGTTAGTACCGCAGCTCTGTACACGTTAACCGTATGTTAATAAAAGTTAAAATCAACATCAAAATAGGTTTGGAAAAAATGCTTAATTGGGAGGAAGTCCAAACACTAACCTCATAGCGATCCATGGTGACAGCCATGCGGCCACCCCCTGAGGCAATACAGGCATCACACCCCATATTCCGGATGTCGACGAATTCCTTCTCCAGGATATCGATGTATTTGGGAGCCGACCCTGGAGCAACGTCCCGTCCGTCCAGAAGGATGTGTACACGAATTCGTTTAGCTCCACGTTCGGCGCACCCTTTCATCAACAACTGCAAAACAAAGCGGGCCGTAGCCACATGGAGTTAGATGGACTACTAGCCAATTTATGGGGGCGATTTAGGGGGACTTTCCTGCTTTTACTCCATTATACTGCTCCTTGAGACCATGTTATTTTTTGCTTTATTTTGGTTTTAAGGAGTTCTTCAGAATGTGAGTCTCGATATTCAACAGAGGGATTGTTCACGGAGACCAAATGCCAAGGTTTTATGGTGAGTGGTTGCTGTGATCTTAAAGGCTGTTCTCTCCCTGACATTGAAACTGCACTGAAAAGCTGAAACACACTTACTAAGAGTTGATCCAATCGAGAATGCACACCACCATCGCTCAACAGGCCCATGAGGTGCAACGTATTTTGGGCGAACGCCGAGCTGATGTACTTAAATCCCGCCCCCTCGTACAGCTTCCCGGTGGCTAGGGCTTGGTCCACAAGGCCTGCCCTGCTCCGATCATCAGGCATCCAAGAATCAACACTATGTCCTCATCCTGAGTGAAGGAAAAGAAACTGTTGAACCTGTTCTAAAACATGAGGAAGAATTACAGTGGTAGTGGCAAAAAAAGATATAGCAAAACCACCCATATCTAAGAACACAACGCACCCTTGTGTGAAGATTCGTCCAGCTCCGAGAGCGTTGTGGCCAACCTCACTGTTTCCCATGTCTTCGTCGCTGGGAAGGCCTACAGAAAGGCCATGGGCTCGCACAAGCCGCCATCGATCCGGTGCCGTCTACAGAAAAAGCATTAACACTTTCTACTACAGAATTCCAACAGGTAGGAAGCTCACGGATTCAATTCTAGTTTGTAACTTAAGATCATGGATGATGAGGAAGACTGAAATTGCTGATTTAATACGAATACTATGACCACTCCAATGACACAAGCATAGATATATATAAAATCATATATACATACATAAATTAGCATCGTGCACAAGCGACAGTTAGCAGGTAGCATTGCCTTTTGAAGCCCAGAGCTAAGGGAATACTACCTTCTTCAGTGCGTCCATGGTGGGCGTGGGGGCGACATTAATGCTATTGAAGTCGTCGGGTATCTGCTCTCCCCATCCATCCAGAATGATGATCATCACCTTCTTACCTCGTCTACAAACTGGGTGATGTCTCAGCCTCCATCGATGAGGCCTCTCCATCGTCAACTTCGTCCCCTTCAACTCGAAGTTCAAATTCGATGGAGACATTCGATACAAGTTGGAGGGAACAGAGATGAACAGAATTATGCAGAATCCGTAGCCTTCTCCGTGACAGGTGACATTCGCAACCTGAGCCAAGCTCGTCACATCAAAGAAAACGACGTTCAAAACCAGATCGTGGAATCAGAAAGAGCTTGGAAAACACTGCAGCCAATGCTCTCATCGACGTTGCAGGAACGTCATGAAGGAGAAGTGAATCCTCCAAAAGGATCAATCCTTGTCAAGCTCCACCTTGAGGGCTCCGATGATGGTAGAGCGGCACAGAGAGAGTTAAGCCTGAGAGAGTTGCTCCTTGGACTCCTGAAGCGTTGCCGACCCAATGGGCGCAGTGGAATCCAACCTTTCACAACCTGCAAACAGGAGAACAATACCATAAACTGAAACTCTCCCCAACACCCAGCTCTCCCCGCCTCAACCCAACGTGTGAGAAACGGAGCTTGGAGTGCATGAATCCATGAAGAAATGAAAAGCACCAACAAGCTCCACTCTATAGACTCAGGGCCTGCAGTTCATCACTCTCCCCTCCTCAGGTAGTCAGCTTGTGCCCATACCCTCTTGTTTCAGTGTAAAATGTGTCACACATTCACAAACTACACTTAGGGTGGGTCTCATGTGAAACACCCACCATGAAGAGGCCACTGTGAGACATCAATCAACAAATGCTTTCGGTCTTCCTTTCTCCTCAACTGTATCAACTTTGGCTCTATGTTTCACAGTGCAAATATCTCATTTCAATTGTTTGCATTCTTTTACTTTTGAATGTTTGTAATGTAGGAGGCAAAATCTTCTCAAAAAAAAGTTTGAGTTTTAGAATATTGATATGTAGTGCTTTGCATGAGTGTGTGTATATATATAAACTGCCTGCTTTAAGCAAGCATTACAAAGAGAAATGCAAAAATGTATATTTTATGAAGCGTATCAAAACAATAAGATAGAAACAACATACATCATTGGGTATTTGGGTTTAGTTTTCCAATGAATAATACATAGTCTAGATAAAATTGAGAACCATAGTCATATGAATCTTTTAGCTGAGAATGAATTTATTTACAACATTCAAAATGTAATTTTATAATTAACGACTATTTATTTTTCTAAACAATATTTTTCTTGCATTATCATTTTTTACGTAGACATAGGAAAAAAAATAAAAACCAATCCATTCTTGCAAATACTTTAAAATAAAAGATAGTTTATAAGATTATTTTTAGATATTTATATTTTTTTAATCTATTCCTTCAATAAGATATAATTGCATCAATAAATGATATTCTATCTTATATAAAATAATATTAAAATGGGGCTGTTTCAAACAAAAAAACAGGTTTACAATGATGACCCCAAATCATCAAAAAAATATTTATTTCATCACTTGGTGAGTTCTTTTGCATGGAGAAAAACAATAATATAAATAAAGGATATAATTTTACTACAAAAAAAATGCTGAAAATCTATATGGTATTTTATATAAAAATGAGAATAAAGAGTCGTAAATATAATTTATCAATCATTTTTTTTACAAAAGTAAAGTTAAACTATCTTACTTGTAACTCCCCTAATTTAAAAAATTATTAATTTAATGCAAAAAAAAATATTTTTTTTATATTTTTCTTAATATTTGAATTTTTTTAAAAATAATACAAAGTTATTGCCAACCACAAATATCATACATGCCCCTCAAATATGCTGAAATATCAAAAAAAATACACTTGTTTCTTTACTCGAGGCCCGATGAGCTCGGGCACTCAGAGACACAGAACCACTTAGTCTTTGGAAGCTTGTGGTTGCTTTGGACTAGATTAAATGAGACCTACCGGAGGTTTGATTGTGAGGGAGGTAATTTGGTGTTGCGGAACATTGATATTCTCGGGGTTGGGATAGGTATAATTCGGATAAACGTAGTCCTCGTATCAATCATTCGAGTTCATACAAACCCTTCTTTGTATATGAGCGCACAATTCTTGCCCACATATATTAGAATTATTTGTGTTCACTGTTTTTGCTGGTCTGCACCAGTGGTAATGGTTTTGTGTCATTCCCAGCAGGAGGAGCTTGGCGTTGCCTCTCATTCTTTGAGAGAAGGTAAACTTTACTAGTGGTTGATGTGATCTTTCTTTTTTGTTACTTATCTTTGAACATTTTATCTCATGTACTAGATTTGTTTATGTCTAATGGCCTTGAGTCTACTCTTGGAGAAATTCTTTTGAGTTGTTACAATTGGGCGGGCTTTGTTAGAAGAGAGGAAGTTATTTTTTAAAATGACCTTTTTTGAGGATTTTAGGCCGCTGCTCGTTGCAAGCTCTGAGTGAAAGTGAAATAGGGGGGCTATCAGGAGATTCTCTTAATTTCTTAGTTGTTATGAAACAATCAACAACTATAACAATGCTATTAGGTTCACAATCATAGGGTGGCTCTTGAAAAAATCTTTTGCCAATTGATTTTTCTTTTTTTCTTTTTTTTTTCTTTTTTTTTTCTTTTTGGTTGTTATCGTGGATATGCTAAGTAAAGTAAGAAAAAATTGAGCTGATGATGAGGTTATGTAATAAGAAACGCAGTTGTCAACTGGGTCATGGGGGTTGTTATTTGCTTTCCAACGTATATCGCAAGTTGAAGTCGACGGAGATGTGTTACCAATAAGGTAACTCAAGAGAAGATGTTGGATATTATGAGTGTTATAGAAATGTTACTTTTATCCAATTCTTTTCCTACATTAACAAACTTTAGTATTCATCTCTTCTATTACTATGAGTGAATGCCAACCCTCTGATCACAAGACTAATCAATTTTCATTTTTATTTGTTGTTGTTGGATTTCTTTTCAAAATGCAGCATGACAATTACAAATTCTACTGCTTTCTGAGCTCTGAATGTCCAGATCATTTTTTTATCGTGAGAGTGTCATTCTTCAAACTTCTGTTCTGTAAAGTTTTTGTTGGGTTTTTAAACTCATGTAATTTCTAATACATTATTTTTAATATTTTTAATAATTTTGATATAGTATTTCTAGCACATATTTTTGATATTATATTTTTGGCACATATTGTTTATACAATTATTTTTGTTACTGCAGCAAATAGATTTGGTGCTAATTAGAATTATAACATAGCAAAAGTGTACTATTGATGCTTTATTGTGTGTTTATCACATATTTGGGCTTTATCAAAAAGTTATTTGTCTCTCCAAACTCTACAGAATACTAGTAGATGACATTTGTGAAGTAATCAACAGTGAACAAATTTGTATTCTAAGAAACTTGTTGAACAAGAATCTTACTTCAAAACAATAAGTGCTCTTATTGTGGATGTGGTTTTTAATAGTAGTAACAAATCAAATATAATCATTTCTCAAGATGCGATTAGGAAGCATTATAAAACATCCATTATCAAATCCAACCAAACAAGATACATTGTGAAGTGTTGCAAAGATACCTACAAATAGAGACTACATGCATCATAATCTCAATCAGCTTGTATAAGTGAATTTGAAATTTGAATATTTGTCTCTAAACACATACATTGGTATTGAATACTTAGGCAATCAATATATTAATGCAAATTGGGTAGTAAGCAACGTCAAAAATAAGTGAGAAGACATACCAGAATATAGAGCTATATATATCTAAATAGATCTTCAATATAATGATGGCATTATAATATCCTACTTGATGGCATGATGTCAAAGAAAATGTGACGGACACAGAAATACAAGCTCGAGATCTAAGAAGAAGTTCAAGAAGAATTGGCAAGAACTAGATTAATCAGATGAATACAAGAACAACACCAGAGAGGTGAACTAGAGCTCCAAGAGATGTGTTGTCGAGACTGAAGAACTCTTCAGCCTTGATTCCAATATATACTCCTATTTAGGAAGCTTCTCAAGCAACTTCTACCAACTAGGAAGCTTCTAGAAGGTTCCAGAGACTTACTTCTAGAAGGTTCTAAAAACTTGTCTCTAGAAGGTTCTAAAAACTTTTCTCTAGAAGGTTCTAAGGACTATGTCCCTAACATCTTCTACCAACTAGGAAGCTTCTCAAGTAATTTCCATCAACTAAGAAGCTTCTAGAAGGTTCAAGAGACTTGCTTCTAGAAGGTTCTAGAAACTTGTCTCTAAAAGGTTCTAAGGACTATGTCCCTAACATCACCTCCTTCTTTAGCTTTGAGGTCTCTGAGAAGCAATGTTGTTGTTAATCAGTACCAACGCAAAAAAATGAAGATCTGTTGCATAACGTCTGCTATGAACTCCAACTGTTGTTCACGAGACAAGTAGTTCATTGGCCCTTGAAGCCAACGGTAGTGGCCCACGCCTTCGACTTCTGACCAAGCATGAACTTTCATGTCCTCATTGTGAAATTATCCTGCAAACATGCCTTCTGGCTGAGCATCGTAAGCAAGCTTAAACTCAAATACAATCATTAGTGATCGATTACTCGGTATCCTTGGTCGTCATCATGATATAGGCAGTTCTTCGTCTCAGGGTCGCCTTCATGAGCTAGTTGGTTGAGATAATTTGACTGGCATAGTATCTATCTCTTGGCTATCCATATCAGAAGACCAAACTATGGCTACTGAAAAAATTCTACTTTATCTTGGAGAAAATAACTGTATCAACTATGAATTTTGTTAGTGCTCTCCTCCTTTCTTATATTCTTAGATGAGCAAGCTTCAGAAGGAAGCTATCGTCGAACCGGCTTAGGTTTATGAAGATGTTGTTGATGAAACTCCTATACCTTTTGCGGCGCATTGGCGAGATTTTCAGCTGGCTCCCACGTTCGTTCATTAATGTCGTAGCCGCACCAATGAATAAGATACTCCAACTTGCCCCACCTTCACCATGAATCCAACATCTTTTCAACCTCGTATTCCTCGTGGTTCTCGATCTCAATATTAGGTGGCAGACATTGCACTCTTCCAGGAAAAGATGACTCTCGATAAGGCTCCAACAGAGAAATATGAAAGATTGGATGTACCTTCATAGAAGTCGGTAATTCCAGATGGTACGCCACTGGATTGATTTGCTTCTGGATGATAAATGGTCCCAATCTTCGATAGTCCAATTTATCACATGGTCGCTTGGTCTTGATATTTTATCGAAGAAGCCATGCTTTATCTCCAATTTTGAAAGTATGTGCTTGATTCCAAAATCTATCTATAGACGCCTTATAGGATTCTTGAGTGGATTGTAATTGAAGCTTCAATGTATTTTGAAGCTCTGATAGTTGTTTTGCAAATCCTTCAGCTGCTGGATTGTTATTTGTTGACGGACTCAATAAATCAAGCTTCGGATGA